CTGACGGACGTGAACACAGAATAAAGTTACTTGAAATTATATATATTTCTACAAAATGACACTTGAAGTAACTCTTTTTTCGCTTTTAGTTTAGTGATAGTGAATTTAACTGGCAACATCACACAGTAAAAAGCTTACTTAAAAAGTTTACAAAGTTTACTGAAGCACATTTGCCTTAGCCTAAGCTCTTTTCCATTTCAATTTATCCGCGCTAAATTTATGTTACTCAATTTCCGACAAATACAGTTGCGAAATGAAATAATTTTGAAAAATTTAAGGGCTGGAAAAACTCAAATTTCATGACAAATTCAGTACGATCACCATTGGAAATCCCATCCGCAATTATAAACAACTGATGGCAGTTATCGCTTTCCTTTCGTCTTTCAAAATAGGTAAAATATAGAGGAAATTTTTGCAGCTAAGATGGTGAGAGAGGTTCCTCTTTGACTTCCTCCTTCATCTCTTTCTTACTTTTTCTTTCTTTTTCTTCGTTGTCGCTGTCTTCAGATGATTTTTCATGAAGTAACACAAACTCCCGTGTACTGTACCCAAACTTTAGCACGTCCTTCTCACGCAGTTCCACGAATCTGCAAAAATAAGAATTTTTAAGAAACAATTTTTTCCTCTGTATTAGCTAGAGAAAACTTAATGAAAACATACAAAACATAAATACAGAATTTTATAATACTTTTGTCTTATTATCAGGAATTCTAAGGCTGCACAGGTAAGCAGTATGCGCACCCTACATTAATGATGTTTTCACTGCAACGCTTTTACAGACACACACACACACACACACATACATACATACATACATACATACACGCACACATACACACACGCACACCTAAGCGCAGCTATGCCAAGTCCTTCGATCCCCCGTGCTGCATATCTCCATTAGTACCCAGTGCCTGTTCAATAACTTTTCTGGGGGCTATTCTTGTTGCATGGTATCAAACACAGAACAAAAAAAAGAGAAATTTAGGGAAATGGGGAGAAGGAAAAATTAAAATTTTAGCAAACTGTGAAGATTTACCTTTGCGCTTCGATACGTTCATTATTCAAATAAGTTCCGTTCGTAGAACCCAGATCTATGATGTATGGCCGGATGCGCTTTACGGTGGTGCCATCTTTTAAATCAACTGATACAATACGATACTGCAACACTGCATGCTGTTTCGAGCAACTTGGATGATCCATCGGAAGATCCGCGATTTTACGCTCACGCCCAATTAGATAGGCAGATTGCCGATGGATGTAGAGTACTGGTAATGCTTCATCGCCCTGAAATCAGAACAAACATTCTAAGTGAATCACCGACGAAAACAATTCACTATAGCCAAGCTCTAATAAATTTTTAAAACAAAGACGCGGAAAAATTTCCGAAATCAAGTCAAGTAGTACGCTCCCAATTCAGACAGTATCTCAGCGTGGTCTAAAAGACATCTTGGAACGGCTACAGCCTTGTCAG